TCTATTTATTTCAGTTCTTATACTTAATCTTGTCTTGCTATACTCTAAATTATTCACTTTTTTGTAATTTCTTTTTCAAATAAATTTACACCTCCATCTCTAATTGGTATAAACTCATTATCCTTTCTAATATATGTTTTAGTTATATTAGTTTCAATACTATTTTGAACTAATTTAATAACAAGATCTGCTTCATAATTATCTCCTTTCTCTTTTGTTGATTTTTTCTATTCGATAAAAAAAAATATTAGTATATCTGCATAACATTATGAAATTTCACTATGTTTAACAGATAGGTTTGATCCATAAGATCTTTTCATTAAATATGATATCTTTCCTTATAATATCTACTCTTATCCTGATTTGATATCCTAACGATTTTATATATCAAAATTCAGAATCAAGAGAAACAATATCTTTGGTAGCGTCTACAAGATTCTATTAAAACAATATAATGCTATAAAAATCACCACATTTCAACTGAAATAGATTCTTTTCACCAAATCAGAAAAATATCATACTTTCAAATATCTACTCTTGTCCTAATCTGATATCCTAATGATTTCACATATCAAAATTCAGAATTAAGAGAAGCAATATTCTATAACAGCATTAATAAAATCTTAGTACTAAGTAAGATTAATAAAAATCTTACCTTTATCACAACCATCATAAAGATTACATTATTAAAATTCTATTTGGTGATTTGTTCACTAAATAGATTATATCATAGTAAATATCATCATGAATTGCTTCTTCTAAATTCTTTTTTTTTTATAGAATTACATTGTTAAAATTCTGTTTGGTGATTAACTCACTGAACAGATTATATTTATTTATTTAATGTATAAAAAAAAATAAAAAATAAAAAATTATTGAACTATATTAAGAATCTCATCTTCAATTTCTTATTCAGTAGTATGATTAATACTATTATTGTTAATATCATTACATTATCACTATCACAATTTATCACATCACAATTTTCTATAACTCCATTTACAATTTCTTTAGGACTTTCAGAATTGTTTTCACTATTATCTTTTTCTTCAATAAGTTTTCTTTTCTTTAGTTGGCGTCTTTTTTTTGCTTTTAAATAATTATTGATATAAGCAATTATCTCTTCAAGTTTTGTTTCTAATGTTTCAGTTAAACTTCCTTCATTTCGTAATCTTCTCATCTCAGTAAAATCAACAGAAAACTATTCACTATTTTTTTCAGGTTCCATACATTGAGGAACAACATCTTCTATATCAGCAATATACACTGCAGTTCTGTAAACATCTTCGGTTTCTCTCTTTGGAAATATTCTAGAATTTTCTTCTGTTACAACATGAATCAAATTATCATCACCTAAAATAATTCCTGATTTTTCTAATACTTTACGTCTTGCACATGTAAGAAAATAATCTTTTTGTTTTCTGTCTATAGGATCTACTTTACCTCCAGTTACTTGATATTTTCCATTATAATCAGCACCAGGAATTTCATGACGTAATGAAATAAATATATTTTTAGATGAGTTGAATAATACACATAATGCATATTCTCTAAAATTAAAAGTTTTCATATAATTTTCAAAAGAAATCTTATCATTTAGAAGTCCATTATATTTTTTAACAGCAATATCTAAAACTGAACCAACTATATGCCTATCTTTTGACATCTCATTTAACATTGTAATATAATTTTTGTATCTTTTTTCATCTTCTTTTGATTGATCAAAACTTTTTTTATAACCTAAATATTCTTGATACAAAGCTATTTTTTTTTTTGTTGTAAATTACGTAAATAAAATTCTAATCAGGCACATTAAGTATCTGATTAGATACAATAATTTCATGATCACTATCATCCATACGAAGTTCTTCATCACTAAAAACTAAATTATTAACTTGATTAATTATAGCATTTTGTTTAACTATATATCTAAAAGGATTATTATCTTTAACTACAAATCCATCATCTGTAGTATAAGATGATTGAGTAGATAAAGATGATTCAGTATGTAATGATTCAGATTCAGAATCTCTTTTTCTTTTTTCTAAATTTTGTCTTTCTTGTTCTCGTTCTAAAGCTAATTGTAAAGCATTTTCTGCTGTAGGTAAATCATCATCACTAAGATAAATTGGAATTTCATTCGATTGTTCTTATAATTTTGAGAAATCTTTTTCTTGATAATCTATAATTAATTCTCATTTGTTTTGTTTAAATTCTTTTTTGTTATTAGTTTTTTTTCTTTTTGAAAAATTGTATATAGGATTATATCTTTGTTTTCTCAAACTTCTTCGTACATAAACAAAATCTTTATAATATTCAATATAAAAATTATATTGATCTTGTGTAATAGAACCTGAACTTGATAGTGATTTAAGATTGTTTTGAGGAAATTTCATTTTTTTTTACGTAGATAAAATTCTATCAGGTCAATTAAAGACTAGATAGATTATAAGTAAATAATATATTTATTACAATAAAAAAAAAATTTCTATTCATTTTCAGATTCATCTGAATCAGAATCAGATTCTAATTCTTCAAGAATCTTTTCTTCAGATTTACATAATCTTTGATATAATGACATTGCATCTTTCTTTAGCTAATCAAATTTTTTCTTTTTAAATTCTTTAATTTCACTAAACAATAAATGATTTCTATTTGTTGGCAACTTCTTTTCAATTTCAGAAAAAATCTCATTTTTTGCAAGTAAATATTTTTTATAGTTTTGAATAAAATCTAAACATTCTTCTAAATTTGGATAAGCTCGAGTAAGAGCTTGATGATCAACTTCACTAACCAACTTCCAATTTCCTTTTATATCAATATATTTTTTCAATTCTTCATAATTGAATTTTTCTCTTTTGATTTTTTTTGTTTTCTTT